GTGTTTGCCCAGACACAAGCGAAATCACTCGTTTTGTATTTAACCAGTTTTATTTTTTACCTTGCGTCCCTACCTGCTCGACGAGCGCCCCTGATGCGTTCCGCGGGAATTCGCTGACGGAATTTCAGAGATGGAACAATCGATACGCTTCGTTTACATTTGCGGGACGATCGGGTAATCGTGGCTACTTGTCCGGCGGCCGACCGCCGCTGACCCTCGAATGGTGGGTCCTTTTCGACCCGCTGGACGCTTATGTTCGATCCATTTTTTTTTCTTTTTTCGAGACGATGGTGAGTCAAAATTTGTGAAAGTGTGGAGTCGTAATTATGTGGTAGGAAAGAGAAAAATTTTGTTGGAAAAGACTGACTTGGAAAATTGAGTCCAGAAAGTTCTGAAAGGGAAAACAGTTTTCACTTAGAAAGGTCTGATTAAGAAAATTGTGTTCAGAAGGTTCTGAAAGGGAACACAGTTCTCATTTAGAAAAGTCTGATTAAGAAAATTGTGTTCACAAAGTTCTGAAAGGGAAAACAGTTTTTATTTAGAAAAGTCTGATTAAGAAAATTGTGTTCAGAAGGTTCTGAAAGGGAAAACAGTTTACATTTAGAAAAGTTTGACTCGAAAAATTGTGTTCAGAAAGTTCTGCATTGGAAAACCAGTTTCCATTTAGAAAAGTCTGACTCGGAAAATTGTGTTCCATAAGTTCTGCATTGGACAACATTGCCCAATTAGAAAAGTCTGATTAAGAAAATTGTGTTCAGATAATTCTGACCTGGAAAACAGTTTCCAGTTAGAAAAGTCTGACACGGAAAACTCCGTTCAGATAATTCTAACACGGAAAACAGTTTCCAGTTAGAAAAGTCTGACTCGGAAAACTTCGTTCAGAAAATTCGGAAAACATTTTCCACTTAGAAAAATCTAACTAGGAAAACTCCGTTCAGGAAATTCTGGATACTTGGAAAACCGATTCACTTGGAAAACTCCCGCTGGGAAAAATCTTCGCCGGAAAGCTCGAGGGCGGAAAACGATTTTCCCCAGTAAAAATAAAAAGAACGAAAGTCGAAGCAGTACTAAAAAGAGAAAACCGTAAGAATTGATAATCGTGAGATGTTATCGGGTCGTAGCAGGAAGCGTTCGAAAAGGTCCGTCTTCCGAGAGTCAAAGGACAGAGAGCCCAGGGTGTCTGTGCAGTGATTAAGTGGTTTCCCGTCGATGAACTGGGCCGACAAGAGGAGTCCGATAAAAATGGTCGTTGGAGAAAAGAAGTGATGGCTAGCAGAGAGACGAGCTGATGATGAACGAGAGGGGAGGAGCGAGCAGTACCTTGCAGATAAAGGGTGGGGGTTGGTTGCTGGTTTTGTGTTTGCTGCCTGAGGTGACTTACCCCTGGACAGTGTCATGCCTAGAGTACGGAATCGCAAGGTAATTGTTGATGTTTCTCCTTACTCTTTACTTGGCCCGACTTGCATGCTGTCCTATCGGTAGCGGCACAACACACAAGACATTTGTATACATACAAATATATATATGTAAATATATATATATAATTATATTACTGTAGATAGATAGATATCAAATAAATATTAAGATAGTGTGGCAGCTGCGGGGGATCGCGTGGACCTAGAGAACAATACCCATCGCACGCGCATATATTTTCTATGTTTTGGTTTGTTCTTTTCTTTTTTTCTTTTCGTTGATTCACTCGATGCACAGGATTTTTTGAATTTCCCGCTTATACTGGAAATTTTCCGAGGATATTTTTCGTCTCGATGGGAACTTTTAAGGCATTCCCTCTCTATCGTCGCGCTACTTTCAAAGAAATTTTTTTATTATATTTTTGTAATCTTTTTGAGATGGTAGAAGAATTGAGATTCGTGGACTATGTGAAAAATAAATACCTACATGGAAAAATCTGACTCGGGAAATTGTTTTTCCAAAAATCTGACAATTATGTTTCAACAAATCTGACTTGGAAAATCGTTCCTGGAAAAATCTGGCAATTATCTTTCGATAAATCTGACTTGAAAGATCATTTCTGAAAAATCTGGCAATTATTGTTTTAACAAATCTGACTCGGAAAATTGTTTTCCCAAAACTCTGGCAATTATGTTTTAGCAAATCTGACTTCGAAAATCGTTTCTGGAAAAATCTGGCAATTATCTTTTAATAAATCTGACTTGAAAAATCATTCCTGGAAAAATCTGGCAATTATATGTTAACAAATCTGACCCGGAAAATTGAAGGGGCTTTGTCGAAACGTGACAATAGAGAGGGAATACAGTGTCTCTCTAAACCGAAGCTCTGCAAAAATCGGACAGTAAAAATAAAAAGACATCGTGGAGCATCTCGAGCATCGGAAACAAAACAATCGAATCTCGTTTGGTGAAAACAAAATCGGTGAATATTGAACAATCAAACGAAAGCGAAAACGTTCTCGCATGTAGCTCCACTTAGGACACAATCGAGGNTTAGAAAGGTCTGATTAAGAAAATTGTGTTCAGAAGGTTCTGAAAGGGAACACAGTTCTCATTTAGAAAAGTCTGATTAAGAAAATTGTGTTCACAAAGTTCTGAAAGGGAAAACAGTTTTTATTTAGAAAAATCTGATTAAGAAAACTGTGTCAAGAATGTTCTGAAAGGGAAAACAGTTTACATTTAGAAAAGTTTGACTCGAAAAATTGTGTTCAGAAAGTTCTGCATTGGAAAACCAGTTTCCATTTAGAAAAGTCTGACTCGGAAAATTGTGTTCCATAAGTTCTGCATTGGACAACATTGCCCAATTAGAAAAGTCTGATTAAGAAAATTGTGTTCAGATAATTCTGACCTGGAAAACAGTTTCCAGTTAGAAAAGTCTGACACGGAAAACTCCGTTCAGATAATTCTAACACGGAAAACAGTTTCCAGTTAGAAAAGTCTGACTCGGAAAACTTCGTTCAGAAAATTCGGAAAACATTTTCCACTTAGAAAAATCTAACTAGGAAAACTCCGTTCAGGAAATTCTGGATACTTGGAAAACCGATTCACTTGGAAAACTCCCGCTGGGAAAAATCTTCGCCGGAAAGCTCGAGGGCGGAAAACGATTTTCCCCAGTAAAAATAAAAAGAACGAAAGTCGAAGCAGTACTAAAAAGAGAAAACCGTAAGAATTGATAATCGTGAGATGTTATCGGGTCGTAGCAGGAAGCGTTCGAAAAGGTCCGTCTTCCGAGAGTCAAAGGACAGAGAGCCCAGGGTGTCTGTGCAGTGATTAAGTGGTTTCCCGTCGATGAACTGGGCCGACAAGAGGAGTCCGATAAAAATGGTCGTTGGAGAAAAGAAGTGATGGCTAGCAGAGAGACGAGCTGATGATGAACGAGAGGGGAGGAGCGAGCAGTACCTTGCAGATAAAGGGTGGGGGTTGGTTGCTGGTTTTGTGTTTGCTGCCTGAGGTGACTTACCCCTGGACAGTGTCATGCCTAGAGTACGGAATCGCAAGGTAATTGTTGATGTTTCTCCTTACTCTTTACTTGGCCCGACTTGCATGCTGTCCTATCGGTAGCGGCACAACACACAAGACATTTGTATACATACAAATATATATATGTAAATATATATATATAATTATATTACTGTAGATAGATAGATATCAAATAAATATTAAGATAGTGTGGCAGCTGCGGGGGATCGCGTGGACCTAGAGAACAATACCCATCGCACGCGCATATATTTTCTATGTTTTGGTTTGTTCTTTTCTTTTTTTCTTTTCGTTGATTCACTCGATGCACAGGATTTTTTGAATTTCCCGCTTATACTGGAAATTTTCCGAGGATATTTTTCGTCTCGATGGGAACTTTTAAGGCATTCCCTCTCTATCGTCGCGCTACTTTCAAAGAAATTTTTTTATTATATTTTTGTAATCTTTTTGAGATGGTAGAAGAATTGAGATTCGTGGACTATGTGAAAAATAAATACCTACATGGAAAAATCTGACTCGGGAAATTGTTTTTCCAAAAATCTGACAATTATGTTTCAACAAATCTGACTTGGAAAATCGTTCCTGGAAAAATCTGGCAATTATCTTTCGATAAATCTGACTTGAAAGATCATTTCTGAAAAATCTGGCAATTATTGTTTTAACAAATCTGACTCGGAAAATTGTTTTCCCAAAACTCTGGCAATTATGTTTTAGCAAATCTGACTTCGAAAATCGTTTCTGGAAAAATCTGGCAATTATCTTTTAATAAATCTGACTTGAAAAATCATTCCTGGAAAAATCTGGCAATTATATGTTAACAAATCTGACCCGGAAAATTGAAGGGGCTTTGTCGAAACGTGACAATAGAGAGGGAATACAGTGTCTCTCTAAACCGAAGCTCTGCAAAAATCGGACAGTAAAAATAAAAAGACATCGTGGAGCATCTCGAGCATCGGAAACAAAACAATCGAATCTCGTTTGGTGAAAACAAAATCGGTGAATATTGAACAATCAAACGAAAGCGAAAACGTTCTCGCATGTAGCTCCACTTAGGACACAATCGAGGGCATCGTGTACGACTTGACATTGTCCCGTGCTCGAACATCGTATCGACAAACGTAAGCGACAGAAATCAAAATGAACAATCAATCTGCGAACTGTACGCTTTGTCCTCTTGCACATCGACAATAAATGAACTACACCGTTTCTCCTTGTCAGCTCACAGAGTGTGAAACCTCGCTGAAAAAGAGAATCCAGAAATCCATCGCTTTCCCGACAATTCTCAACGGAATAATTTATCCGACAATTATTCGCAAATCTTTTCGACAATTCTTCGTGAATATTTTTCTTCTATTTTTTTTATTTACGGAAATCCTTTGCAATACTTTTTGACAATTCTTCAGAAATTTTCGTCCGGAAAAATCTTTTCGGCAAATTTGTCGTTCGTTGCATCCACGGAAAGCAACGAAGGTACACGAGAAATCGCCGTAGGTGGGGAAAGGAGCACGTGACTGAATAATATGAACAGTGAAATCAGAACGAAGTACTCACCTGCGAAGCACCAGCGGCCGGTTATGCGGGCAAAGATGAAGAGGAAAGCGGCGAGAATCAGCAGCAGAGCCCCGACGACGATTCCGATGATGGAACCAGCGTCTAAATCAACGCCTGAAATTTCGTAAACGAACATTTAGTCGTTCCCGTACCGATCATCGCCCGAGACCAGCGTTCCCAGAGAAATCAGTCGGATCTGACTACGTTGGAGTGGGGATGGTGACTCACGCGCCGCTGTGCGGGGCTCGCGGCGCACGCGTCGCCATCCCCACTCCTCCAAGGCCGGCTCTGACTACATTGGAGTGGGAATGGTGACTCACGCGCCGCTGTGCGAGACTCGCAGCGCACGCGTCGCCATCCCGACTCATCCAGATCTGACTTATTTCCCTGCGAACCCTGCCTGAGATTTCCCGCACGACGCTAATGCTCTCGCTAAACGACTGATCGCTACGTTGCCGGATCAAAATCCTCCCGGAACGTTCCACGTGATATATAGAGTGTCTCTTTTCAAATATCTTCGTTATTTTTGCCGGTACGAGAAAAATGTATCAGAGCAAACTTGTTCGGCTCATAGCTAGGAATATTATGATTCGTGTGGATAAAAAAAAAATACGAAGATATCCGAATGTGCAGAACAACAAGAACACTCTGTACAGAGCCGACAGGTTCCGTTCGAGCGCGTCGACGCGTCCCGTGTCCAAACACGAAACTCGCACAAACGGACGCATATGGAGAATTGAAAAATATCTTGAACACCATGCGTCGATATTCAATTGGATACGAGCCGAATTCCCGGTGATCGACGGACAGTGTAAGCCCAGCCGAAGCTTCGAAACTTCGAAGGGACAATGGCGGGCCAACGCAGCGGGGGGTCTCGTTTCCGAAATAATTGCGCTTTTCTTTCGTTCATGTTCCACACGGTCTTGCGAAACGTCGAACGGAGAGCTGCGAGCGCAAACAATTTTTTTTTCGTCGCGCGCTTCCGACGGAAACGCGTCGGCGTGGCCGTGACGCCGTTCGGTTCTCGACGGCGCGGACGCGAAATAATTGTTGTATTGTAAAATTTCTGATTGTTGTTCTATCTCGGTGATTTGTCGGCGAAATTTCGACGCGTTGCTTTTTCGAACGTCATGCTGCGCGACGCGTTCCAATCTCATCGGAATTAATCGTTGGCGAATAATTATTGTAAATTTGTTTGTTAATTAGTTAAGCGATACGTTTTGAAAAAAATCAGGCTAATTTGCACGAACGTTTGCAACGCTTTCGATTATTTGTTCAGCTTTTGATTTCACAGTGGAACGTTTCAATGTATTATTCGGTGCTTCGCGGACACGATTAAATGGCAACACTGTATTCTCTTGCCGGCGACGCTCGTGGCTGCCTAAAATAAAATTAAAAAAATAAAATAAAATAAAATTCCGAATTCACGACGTCGTTTGAGAAGAATTTCGAATATTTTCCACTGTCACACTTTTCGCTGGGAAAATTACTTTCGAATAATTATTAAGAAATAAAATAATTATTAAAACCACGAGATTCTGTATCAAATTTACACCGCAGATTTTCCTGCGAACTAAAAACCGTGCAACGATACTGCGCCACGAGAAATCTAGCCCCTTGTTTATTTTATTTATTCATTCAATCAATCATTTCATTGTTTAAACAATGGAGCCAGCGCAACGATATTCCCAAATTGTTCGAAGAAAATCTTCCGATCTGTTGAGAAAAAAGATCTGCGATGCCGAGATGCAACGTTTATGTCGCGGTTCGCGAAAACTCGCACCAACGTGAACCGAGCGACGCCTTTCTACCCCTCCCCCCCTCCGCCGTCCTTTCAACCGGCGTGTTCGCGTCTCGGGAAAACGGCTTCGAACAGGCATTCAAAAGCTTTCTCTCCGCGTTCGCCGATTGAAACGCGGCCGAGCTAATATTTAGGCGAAAAAAGAGAGGTGTGCGCAAAGAAACGAGCGTACGGCGAACGTGTGTACGTGTGCTGGCCGATGCGAGCCGTGCGCGGGTGTGTGCCTGTGTTTGTGTTCAGCACCGGCGAAAGCGTTAATTTATAGAGAAGCAATCGAACAGAAATCTATTCGCGCCGGATCGGAAATACGGGGATGCGGCATCCGGCGGTCACGGTTCACACCGATCAAAATTGTAACGTTACACGCATACACGTATATCTATATCGTATATCTATGTATCTATGTACATATATCTTTCTATATACATATATATGTATGTATGTATGTACACACATATACGGGACGCGTGCGCCGCGGCGCGAAGTTCCATTCAAGCGGGATCTATTGAGACATATCTCGATCCCGATCGCGCTATAGATCCGCGGCGGTTCTCGTTTCGCTTGTAAAACCTCGCGGACCGCTGGCGAAAATTCTGTGTACAAGGTGTCCCGAAAATGTCTCGCGATCCGGAATCGGGTTCCCGATATCATTTGGAGCAACTTTTTCCTTTGCGAAAATTTTCTCCGAGGCTTCGTTTACGAGTTATTAGCGAACGAACATGGACCAATGAGACGCGAACCCGGCTGCCGCGCGGCGGCCTCGCGTCTCATTGGTCCGTGTTTGTTCGCTAATAACTCGTAAACGGAGCCTTGGGGAAATTTTTCGTAAAGGAAGAAGTTGCTCCAAATAACCTCAGGAACCCCTCGGGACACTTTTTTTTCTTGATGTCACTGGCGAGCGGTTCGGCAGAGTAGAGGGCAGCGCAAACGTAAAAAGATATCCTAAATATTTCCATTATTCAATAAACCATTGTTTACGGCTTCTCAAAGCGGCAACTGTTCGTTCGCGATACAATCTTGGTTGGAACTCGGCGCAGGGGCCAGCAGCGTCGTCTACTTACGTATAATAATTTGAAAGAATGACATTACCTAGTGCGTGCATGTGTTCGGAGAGCTTACCATAGAAGTGACTCAACGCCCCTGTGTGAGTGCATGCGGTGAAGGATCGATATTCGTTAGAAGATACATCGAAAGTACATACGGGCGGCTCGGAAACCGGCCGGCGTCAGGTCCATTGTTCTTAAAATTGAGACGAACAAGAATTTCGCGAATTGATAGCGAAAGGAATGATACGCGGTGCCACCGGCAATGCGAAAGCGCAATTTAATTGAATAAAAAGAATTCCAATTAAATGAAAGGAGAATTAATATTTAATTATATCTGATCGAATTGTTCTGAAAATCTGTTCTATTCATCATTTATTTATTTATTTATTTACTCATTTATTTACTTATATGTTTACTTATTTATTTATATATTTATTTATTTACTTAGTTATTTATTTGTTTACTTATTTATTTATTCATGTATTTGTTTATATATTTATGTATTTATTTAGGTATTTATCTAACGATTTATTGATTTATGTATTTATTTATGTATTTATTGATGTATTTATTGATATATTTATTTATGTATTTATTTATTTACTTATTTAGAAGGATTCTATGATAAAGATGCGTTTGCATTAATTGTCAAGGTAAATTGGACCTGCACCGATCGTCTTCTGAACCATCTATGTACACAAAGAACAGAGACAGTGACACAGAAAAGAAAGAAAGAAAGAAAGAGAGAGAGAGAGAGAGAGAGAGAGAGAGAGAGAGAGAGAAAACAATCGAATATAAGAAAACAGATATTCTAATTGATATTTTCGGGCGAGACCGAAGGTGTGTAATGATGGCTGACAGTACGTGAAGGTGACAATGAACGTGACGTAGATCGATAGACAGCGAGTGAGTATGCTCGGCTGGACGAGACGAGAAGTGACGAATATATGTATACATATATGTATATGGAGTGCGTGTGCTAACAGCATGATCGACAGCTCTACCAGTGATTTTCGAACGTTTTTCATCGCGATCCGCCGATTTTCCGGCATTAAATCGTTGCCGGTGATTAAACAATCGACGGAATAATTAACAGACCAGAATCAGAGCACCGTGCATCATTTTCTCGATCGCTAAATCTTTCACACGATCAGCTGGAATTTTTGTAGAAATTTATAGAAATTTTTATTTTATAGAAATTTTTCTGCGTTAAAATAAATAAATAAATAATCCCTCTCGAATTCACGAGGCCATAGAATTATTTTAATAGAAGTAAATTTTTTGAGACTATTTTTGCAAGGATACATTTTAAAAAAAATTATTTTATCTGAGAAAACAAAATAATTATCGATATTCTCAGGGTTGCAATTTTTCTGTTCTTTTTGCCAGCATAAGAAAATCTATTGTCACGCTAGACGAATTGCGAGATGTGGGTGAAATGATTCGGGATGATTGATCATCGCAACGGTTGTTTCGATGGTTTACCTGCGGGTTCTGTGGAGGTTGATAAAACGATACTGTATTCGTAAGCTCCCTCGTCGTTACGAGCTTCCAGGACGTACGCCTTCTCTGTGTCGGATTTCTGAACGCTGTCGATAGTGAGGATCACGCTCCACGCTCCTCTTCCCTGGAACGATAAACGTGTAAATTATTTGAAGGAAATGCTGCGGCTTAATGACGATCAGGTAGAAAGTGTATTCTGATGTGAGAATATTCTAGATGGTTGATAAATTTGGTACAAACTGAGACAGAGTCAAATAAGGTCAAACAAAGTCAATCAGAGTCAAACAAAATCAAACAGAGACAAACAGGGACAAACTTATAAAATTATCAAACACTTTTTATCATCAGATTTACTTTTCTTGTCGAACAGAGATAAACAGGGTAAAACAGAGTCAATCAGAGTCAAACAGAGTCAAACAGGAACAAACAGAGACAAACTGGTGAAATCTTCAAACAATTTTTCATCCTCAGATTTACGTTTCCTGTCAAGCAGAGACAAACAGAGTCAAACAAAGTCAAACACAGTCAAACAGAGTCAAACCAGAATCAAACAGAAACAAATGGAGACAAACGGACACAATCTTCAAACAATTTTTCATCCTCAGATTTACTTTCCCTATTAAACAGAGTCAAACCGAGTCAAACAAAGTCAAACAAAGACAAACAGCGACAAACAAAGTCAAACAGAGCCCAACAGACAAAATTTTCAAACAATTGTTCACCCTCAGATTTACATTCCATTACATTCATTACATTTATTTACTTTCTCACCCATCATAATTCTCATAAAATAACGTATTTATATCAAATATCATTTTCCAATTACAATTACTCCTATATCAATCCAACGGTTACGAATAAGCAAAAAAATTTCTGTCCATCGACAACGATTATTAATTCAAAACAAATTCCTTTCACTAACATTAATTATCACAGCAAGGAAAAATTGTAATCATTCATACTGTTTATGCCTAACAAGAAATCATGTAAATCGAAGTCGTATTAATTTTTATATAGTAACTTTAAAAATTAAGATTCAATATTTCATACGTATATTATCAAAATTTTTGGGCTGGAAATTCAAACGCGTTCCAACGACTGCGATCACCGAGCTCTCGTATCGTCTAGCTTCCTCCGGTCGTGCACAGCGACACAAAAGAATCTGCCGGCCAAAAATCGAACAATCGCGGACAGGCGAAGTGTCCGCGCTCGATGTCGCGATCTCCCCCCACCCCCCTCACATCGAAAAAGGTCTCGCTATTGCTCACTGTCGCCGCGCGCGACAAACCGAAGGAAACAAAACCCGGTTGACTCCCCCCCCCCCTCTTCGCAATTGTGTCGTTGCCGTTTACCGGCAACGCGAGCTCGCGAAGATCAACAACGTTTTTCGCGCGGCAAATGGCTGGCACAAGACAAATCGTCGTCGACCGTTACAAAAGGACACGAAACCGTTCCGATCACCGTAATTGCGTTTTCATTGAAAGCTGCTCCGCGCACGTTGAAACGCCTGCACACACCCGGCACGCCGCCGTTAGCGCGCCAGGGCACCGCGATTTTGCAGTCGGCACCGACGACTGCAAAAGCCATTCATTCCGGGTCCTAGGCGAGCGACCTCGAATGCACGGTTTCGGTTGTTTCATCCGCGGCGATGTTGTTAAGCTGTGCCGCCATCCGGCGAACAAACAGCAAAGGCCTCGGGATCAAATGCTCGGATACGCCCTTATCGGGTTTCCAACGTATAGGATAGTGGAGCCGGTTACTGTGCGCGCGGTACCCAATTACTGAGTCTTTAGTTCATTTTCGAGAGGATTTCAACGTTGGAATTTGTGTGTATATGTTTCATTGTTTCGAACTTGATGGTGGAATCAAATTTTTATTTAACGTTGTTAGAGACGTGTTTGTTGAGGTTTGATGCAGTTCTTTTTTACCTTGGTTTTTTCACAACCAATGAACAATTATATTTCATTGTTTCGACCTGGCTGGAAGAATGAATTTTGTCTAATATTGCTGCAACCATGTTTGATGAGGTTTGATGCAGTTTGTACTCTGTTTGAGTCATTTTGTTTGTTTTTCCATTGTTGTTCTTTTTATCATTGTTCTGATACACATTTTCAATAATTATGCTGTTTGTTCTGCAATGTTGACGCCTATGTTTATCGAGGTTTGATGCAGTTTGAATTATGTTTGACCTATTTTGTGTGCTTTTCTGTTGATGCTCTTTTCACCATTGTTCTGATACACATTTTCAATAATTATGCTGTTTTTGTTCTGCAGTACTGGAGCCATGTTTGTCAAGGTTTGGTGCAGTTTGTCTTGTGTTTGACTCATTTTATGCGGCTTTCTGTGGTTATTTTTTTCACCATCATTCTTTCACACATTTCCAACAATTGTTCTGTTCATTCGACCGCCGCGAACGAGCCTCCCTCCTCCCTCCGCCCCAAAAGATCTCGCTGCGACACATTCTGTTTCCTGTTCCGTTACGGGATATCGGAAATCGTTGCGTCAGCCCGCGATTTCTCTTAACGCTCGATGTCAACCGACTCCGCGTGGTTCCTCTCCCCTCCCCCCGTCCCTCCACCCGAAGCCGTTACCGGCGGAATTCGTCGGGGCACGCCGGCCGGGATTCAACGAGACAATCGATGAAACGTTTTATTGATAAGGCGCATTAGACTTTCCAAGCAGTTGGCAATTTGATTCGAGGACGGAACATTTTTCCGTCGACGTGCGCGCCCGCACGTTCCGACGGAGCCGCGTTCCCAAAGCGACGTTCCGCCGAGTCGGGATTCCGATGCACTTTCGTCCTCCTTCACGGTTCAACGCCGCGTCGTCTGTTTCTTTATTTGCCTACGCTCGGAATGGTCTTGGAACGAGCCGTTGCGTTACAGAAACGCGATAAACGAATGTATGAACTCGGGGATTCGCGACAGTCGTTCGCGCTTTTCCAGCAATTTTTGAAAAGCAAACGACGACGTTGAAGTTCATTTGAATCATCGTGCGATTGACTTCTGCGGCACTGGAGTCGATAGAGTGCGGAAAATAGTACACAGGGTGTCCCAGAACCGCGATTGTATCTCGAAACAACTACCATTGTATTCCCGAGGTGTTTTCGAGCAACTTCCTCCTGTGCGGAAATCTTCTACAAGGCTTCGTTTACGAGTTATCGAAGAAAAATGAAGATCAAACGCGCAGTCGACCGTTGCGGCGTCGGGCCCCGCCCACTCGACCGCTGCGGCGCCGCGCTCCCACTACCCTGCGGGCGGAACGTCGCAGTACTCGTTCCACGATTGGTCCACGTTTTTCACCGATAACTCGTGAACGAGGCCTCGGAGAACATTTTCAGAAAGGAGAAAGTTGCTGCAAATCACCTCAGGAATCATCCTGCACTGTCAGAGAAAGTTTGGGGCGTGTCTTGAGCTCTGAAACACCCTGTACGATGGAATACAATGTCAAATAAACGAAGGAACGAAATTCAATGAACAGATAATGATTGTTCGACGTAAGAAATTAATGAAACCGTGGCAAATTTACCAGATCGACAGCGGTCGAGGTCTCAAGTCGGTTGCTCTCGTCGGGACGACCCTCGTTGATCTTCTCGTCGTTCACTCTCCACAGGAAACGGGGTCTTGGGTTCGCATAGATGGTGACGTTCACGATCCCCTTGCGCCCAATCACGTATCCGAAACGCTCGATTGTGGGCTGCGGCTGCGGAGGGTCTGCGAAAGAATAATTCACGCTTAATGTTTTGTTTCTTTGATCGATTCATTTCGGCAGCCATCTGATTTCGTTCTTCAGCTGTCATTCTTATATTGTTGACATAATAATTCGCCACAGCCGTCAAATGTCATTTATAAATAAATGCGTTTCAAATCTTTCTGCAAGTAAAAATAGTACGATAAAGTTTTGTTAATATAAATATACTATTCGTATGAAATCAATTGATATAATATTTATATATTAATAAGTATATATATTATTTAATATATTAATAATTTAAAAAAAATATTTCTAGAAAATCAAATTAATTCGTCAGAATACTTACAGTACACCTGCAACTGCATAGTGGTCTCCTTAGGCTTGTCAAGGGCGACGTGACTGGCAGCGCACCGCAGAACCCTGCCGTTGTCGGTCCAGTCCAGGCTGCGCGACGCGTTCTGCACTGCCAACGAGTTGTCATGCACCTCCGAATCGTAGATCATCGGTCTCTCCTCGTTGCCGATTGGCTCGTCATCTGATGTGAGACCAGGATAAACGAAATGATACTTGAATGTGGTCGCGTATAATAACAAAAGAAATTCGACAAATTAATCACCGAGGAACAGATGTACGTCCGCCGCTGGTCTTCCGCCGGAGGCGGTGCAGCTCACTTCCAATTTCTCGCCTTTTCTGTAGACATTTCTGCCGTAGTAGCCAGGGTTCGTGTTGATCTCAGGGTTGTTTGGTGGCTCTGCGAATTAGGTCAAGGTTATTAGGGCCGAACTGGGTCAAGGATCATCGATTTATTCAGAAAAATATAAACGAATTAAGAAACAATGATATAATTGTTCTATTTTCTCAAACCTAACTTAGACCTAACCCAGACCTAACTCAGACCTAACCCAAACCTAATCTGGATCTCAGTAAATAAAATAATAATTTAGTAGGCTAACTGAACCTAACTGAACAAAACAGTAACAATCTATTAATAGACCTAACCCAAACCTAACCTGAATCTGAGTAAATAAAATAACAATAATATAGTAGGCTAATTGAACCTAACTGAACAAAATAGTAACAATCTATTAATTTTTTTAGAAGACTCGATATCAAATTTTTTTCAGTCATAATTTATAACTAAACCAGATCTAATCCAAATCTGCATGAATAAAATATGTATTTTATATAATTATATATTTATTATTATATAATGTATCATTAATTATAATAATAATTATTTATTTATATAATTATATATATATTCTATATAATTATATAATTGCTCGTTTTTGTTAATTTCAAACTCTTTTCAAACTTTTGTCCTCGAACAAGAAAAATAATATAAAAAAAATCTTCCTATTTATACTAAACAATTTCTAAAAAATTCTTCCTAATTACACTATATTTCAAGGACGTTCAATTATCTCTCTTATTAAATAACCAATTTTCACTTGCAACAGTGTAGCATAAGCTTCGATAATCGACGATAAAATTGTCGTTAACTTCGTCGATAAATTCAAGTTTTAATTGTTGATTTATTAGTTGCTGATTAGAATCTATCGAACACTGACTTGCAACGATGATCCTGACGGACGCGGACGCCTCCGCCCGGTTGTCGACGACCGCCAGAGTACACTTGAAAATGCCGTCGTTGCTCTCCTTGATCTTCTCGATGTGGACCCCGCACTGTCCCTGCTCGGTGCCAGCACCGTGGTACATGATGCCGTCCTCGGCCGGCTCGCCCTTACTCAACACCATGCCGCCGTCCTCGCCGGGTATCTCGACGCGGCATACCTTCAATGGTCTGCCGACTCGGCACAATATCTGTAGACTCTCGCCGAGCCGCACCGCCACCTGCTGTTTCGGCTCGATCTCCACGACCAGATTCGACTTTGACGCTAAAACAAACATAAATAGCCGATTCAGAAACAAGTTTCCGACACTTCGTTAGATCGACGGAAGTCGGGCGAACGTCTCGGCCATTCCCGTTTCGATGCACTGGTTTACATGCAAGAGAAATTTAGGGGATTGTTTTTTACTGTTTTAATTTTTTATGGGAAAATTGTTGATGGCGGTGTGCCGTGTAAATATTGAAAATAAATGTAGCAGATTATATTATATTATAATATAATATGTAATGATCATATTATATTGTTAGGCTATTTTATAAATATACCAGTGTATAAATATATTATTGTCGTATTATTACTGTTGTATAATTATATTCTTGCACAAAAATAAAATTGTAGAAAAATATACTATTGTACAAAAATATAAAATTGTAAAAAGATATATTCTTGTACAAAAATATAAAATTGTAGAAAAATATGCTGTTGCACAAATATAAAATTGTAGAAAAATATACTATTTTACAAAAGTATAAAATTGCAAAAAAAATATACTGTTGTATGAATATAAAATTGTAAAAAAATATACTATTGTACGAATATAAAATTGTAAAAAAATATACTATTGTACGAATATAAAATTGTAAAAAATATACTATTGCACGAATACAAAATTGCAAAAAAATATACTATTTTACAAAAATATAAGATCGTAAAAAAATAGACTATTGTACAAAAATAAAGCTGATTAAACATTATTGAATAACTGTTCCATTATCCGAACGATTGAGGTTCTACCCTAACAAAATTTGACTAAATAATTTCTTCTCGTTTATCAAGAACGTTCAGGTAAAAATACTGACGAATTTTTCAAAATCGTTCTCGTTTCAGAAGCAAGGTCTTCGCGGCGTACACGNGAATATAAAATTGTAAAAAAATATACTATTGTACGAATATAAAATTGTAAAAAAATATACTATTGTACGAATATAAAATTGTAAAAAAATATACTATTGTACGAATATAAAATTGTAAAAAAATATACTATTGTACGAATATAAAATTGTAAAAAAATATACTATTGTACGAATATAAAATTGTAAAAAAATATACTATTGTACGAATATAAAATCATAAAAAATATACTATTGCACGAATACAAAATTGCAAAAAAATATACTATTTTACAAAAATATAAGATCGTAAAAAAATAGACTATTGTACAAAAATAAAGCTGATTAAAAAATATTGAATAACTGTTCCATTATCCGAACGATTGAGGTTCTACCCTAACAAAATTTGACTAAATAATTTCTTCTCGTTTATCAAGAACGTTCAGGTAAAAATACTGACGAATTTTTCAAAATCGTTCTCGTTTCAGAAGCAAGGTCTTCGCGGCGTACACGCTAGAAATCTGACAATATATCAATTACCTCGAAAAACACGGAATTCTTTACGTTCCGTACCGAATCACGTTTTTCATATCTCGCAGGAAGGTAGTCCGCGGTGGCCGACCTAGTCTTCCTAGGGTTAATCTCGCTTTGCGGGAGGTGAAATTGAATTACCAGACGGAGCGGGGAACTTTCATAATTCTTCATAATTCTCTCGACCTTCTTGTCACGGGCTTAGCGAGTCCCCGCTTTCGCGGGACATGTTTAAGTGCGCGTTTTTTCTCATTCCGCGGGTCACAATAACGACATGTTTATGGTATGCATCGCCGATTAGATGCGGTCTTGTTGCGGTCCCGACCCCCGCGGCATTATCTTGAATTTTTTTCTCTTAGAAAATAGCGACTGTTTGCTTGTTCTATCCTTTAATTAGCTAGCAGTCCAATGTATCAATTAAAAATCACAAGATCTCTTTGTTATTGACAATAACACGCGGCAACATTTTAAATGAATTTTAAACAGCAGTGAAATTAATTATACATTCTTACACAAATTTCTTTGAAGCGAATTTATTTACAGTAGAAAAATATTTTAGGTCCTCGAAAATGATTCTTCGGGAGATTTCGAGCAACTTTTTCCTTTGCGGAAATATTCTCCGAGGCTCCGTTAACGAGTTATTGAGAAAGAAACATAGACCAATCGGAGCGCGTGTGCAGTACGAGTAAGCGACGCGGTAGCGAGCACGATGCGGCAGTGGTCGCGGGACTCGAGGGCGTGGCGCCAGCGTGTGCCGATTGGTCGGTGTTTTTCGTTGATAACTCGTTAACGGAGCCTCGGAGAAGATTTCTGCAAAGGAAAAAGTGGCTTGAAATCTTCCGAGGAATCACTTTCGAGGACGTAAAATATTTTCTGAACCATTTTCAAGTAAAACACGGTTCTCATTTAGTATCATTAATGTTACAAATCCCACATCGTTCGACTCCAATTTTGATAGTTTCTTTGACATCGCAGCAGATATTCGAGAGCCAATATTCGAAAGGATCGCGGGAAACGTGCGCCGCACAAATAAATTTTAATCGACAGCCTCGGAAGTGCCGGCCTAAACGGCGAGAACATTCTCTCGCGATGGTAGAGATCGAAAAACGATTCCCGGGTCACGGGAGTAGCCAGCTCCCTCTTCTGCAAGATTTATGAGACAAAAAGGAAAGTTGATTAAATCCTATCCGATCCTATCCCCATCGTCGCCATCTATCGTCCCGTTCCTGTATTTTCCTTGTTCCGACACGCGCCGCGAGAGCCAGCCGACGAAACTCGCCCGGCCAGTGTCTCTCATTCCTTTCGTTCCGCCGGGTTGCTTCCACGTTCAGCCGTCCATGGCAATTAGGAAATTTCAATATTTTTGAAATATTTCCAATAAGGAAAAAATTGTTCGGAAAATTCTTTCGAGAAGAGATTCTTTCGTAATTTGTTTTTTTCTGAAGGGGTTGTTTGTTACTTTTATGATGAGCTGTTATTTTTGTATTGGACTGTACTTGAATTCGGCACTTGAATTGTTATTTTTGCGCCTAGTTATTATTTTTATACTGAATTGTTAATTCGATACTGAATTATTATTTTTACGGTTAGTTGTTATCTTTTAAACTGAATTATTAGTTTGGTACTGAATTATTATTTACACTCCGAGTTGATATTTTTATAATGAATTATAATGAATTATAATGAATTTGGTACAGAATTGTTAATTTGGTACTCAATTATTATTTACACTCCGAGTTGATATTTTTATAATAAATTATTAATTTAGTACCGAATTATTATTTACACCCCGAGTTAATATTTGTATAATGAATTATTAATTTGACACAGAATTGTTAAACTGATATCGAATTATTATGTTTATACGAAATTATTATTTTCATACTACGTTATTATTTTTCTACCGCATTTTGTTGTATTTAAATTGTACCCTTATATTTATTTTAAATTATTGTTGTTACCCAAAATTATTACCTTTACACTTTATCATTATTTCTCTCCTAAATTATTAATTTTACCCTGACTAATTATTTTTTAAATGTTATATATTTCCGGTAAACGAATGTTTCGACGAAAATTCCGTTTCATCCCCTGTATCAGATATAAAACAGACGTGAAAATCCCCGACAGATTGAATAAAAACATACTAAAAAATTGATTAGGGTGTGCTGCACTCTCGGATTATCCACAAATCGTTCGAGAACGGTCGAAATCCTGAACGAGAGAAACAGGAAAAATTCGTGAGAATTTCCTTGCTCGGTTCTCCCTCCCCCCTCTCCCTCCCCCATTCGGCCACTCAGCCGGTTTCCCAGAACTTTCCGTAATCGCGGTGATGTGTAATGGATAACGAGAACCGGCAGGCGGCGAGAGCAGTCTGCTTGTACTGTAAATGAACAAAAGTTTCGTGGCGCAAAAAGCTTCGAAAGTATCGACCGCAACGCCCCCCCTCCCCCCAACCGTTTGGCCGTAGGGCGAGGAAAAGGTGAGAACGTGTACCGACGTTTTCCATTAATAACTGCATTGTCAAACCGGCGTTCGGCATTCTCGCCCACGCAGGTCGCATTATAAGGCCGCGCGGCCCCCCCTCCGGCGCCGGATCACCCGCGGCCGGGTTGGGGGGGGGGGGGGTTGTTCGCGGCGTTGAGCTTTCAGCAACAACATCGGAAAGTAACTTCTCGAGCACCGTACATCGGCTAAGTATTATTCAATTAATTTGCAACGCCCCCTAGAAAAAATATGATTCTTTCTGTACGAAATGAACGCTCTTCTTTTTTATCAACACCTTGTGATGTTTTAGGGATCACGGACTCGTCACGGAAATTGTTTGTAATAATCTGATTGGGATGAATGTTATTTTGTTGCTTCGAGTAGGAATTTAGTTCTGCGCTTAGTATGTGTTTTAGAATATTTTAGAATATTTTATGGTACTTTTTGTAATATTTTATGTATTTTATAATATTTTGTTGTATCTTATGTGTTTTAGAATATTTTTGAATATTTTATGGTACTTTGTAATATTTTATATGTCATAATATTTTATATCTTATATATTTTAGAATATTTTAGAATATTTTATGGTACTTTGTGATATTTTATATGTTTTAGAATATTTTATAGCAGATTATATATTTTAGAATATTTTATGATACTTTGTAATATGATATTTTGTACCTCATATATTTTA